GAAGCCGAATTAATTCTCTTCTAATGTCTTAGCCACGCCATCCATCAGAAGCAGAATCTGTTTGTTAAATACTAAAAAATAATAAACATTCAAGTATCAAAATTGTTCATATAAACATACACATTTGTTATCATCAAAACTCAGAGATGATATTACAAAACCAAATCTTGTTCTTACATCCCTCGCGTGTAACCCCACATAGTCAACATCCTAAGAACGCTAAACATTGTCCACTTATCAATGTGGATCCCAAAAACTAAGGTCGACACACCTCCCCTATATATCATCACCCCATCATTCAACCCCACAAATTCCCCTCCATGGTGGAACACATGATTGGAGATTTTCTTATTCTGAAATTAGAAACGAAAACAATTAAAACCTAACATGCATCTACACTTTATTAGTTTGACGCGGACAGTGAAAAAAACTTACCTTTTGAGTTTTAGAAGCCTCAACTTCTTCTTCATGCATCTCCGGTTGAACTGGTTGCTTAGATTGACTTGCTTGAGTAGCTTCCTTCGCTTCCTTTGATTGTTCCGATTGTATGGACTTCTTCTTCTTCTTCTTCTTCGTGGTGGCTCGTCTCTTCGTCATCTCCGATTTCTATTTTTACTAATACAAACCCTAGCTTTTTAAGGGGTTGAAACTCAAGCGTGTCAATTAATAACACAGTCAGCCAAGACATGTTGTCCATGTAGGCCAGATTCATATAATCTTTGATAAAAAAAAACCATCAGGGTATTTTGTGCTGGAATCTATATTTATTGAGGGGTGGGAAAAAAATTTAAGGGGGGATCAAAACACGCTCATATGGCAAGGGGAAAAAAGGTATTTAACCCAATATATAATGGTGCAAAAGTATGCAAGGGTGGCCTAAAACAAACATCAATAGTCATACATTTCATTTACATTGATTCAACACCATTCATTCACATCAACCACAAAAACTCAATTTTATACTCAACAACTCATTCTCAAACATCTTCATGTAAATGCAATGCAGACAACAACTCAACTCATGCATGTGGTACCAACCAACGAAGGTTGTTCATACGAACCGAGTCTATCCTTCTAGACCCCAAATCTTCCTACAATACATGCGTAAATGGTTCTTGGACTGCGAGCCCCTTGTATTTTCCAAAGTCAGGTACTTTAAATTTTGGAGGGATTACCACATCAGGAACTAGACCCATTTCAAGGGCGTCGACATCAAAAGCATCGTAACCTTCCACAACCTTAAACCTTTCTTCAAGGGATTTATATTGATTAAGCGCAAATGGATTTTCAGTAACATGCGTATGGGTTGTTCTTTGGGGTGCTTGGTTGACATCTTCTAAGTCATGGTCTCCATACTACAAATCTATGTACTTGTCTGCATTGTTGATCGGAATCTGCAAGGTATGAGATGTCCCTACCTTTGGTGGAGGTGGGACAAACCCTTCAGTATCAGCTTGTCTGACTTCTTATTGAGCCATAGTTGACTTTTAGGGTCCTGAATCTGGTTCTCTTCTTAGTTGGTGACCGCTCGATGCACCAATGGTTTGGGCTACTTCTTCAAGGGCTGCCCTAGAGATCTGTTCTTTCCTCTCGATGATTTTCTTTAAGGCTAGCAGAACTTGACTCATGTCTCCTTTCATCGAGTCAATGTTACCCTTGACTTGCTCAAGATCCTTCTTGAATGCAACTTGATTTTCTTCAATTTGTTCCATCACTTTTTATTGATGGGCTCTTGTTTGATATGGTGGTCGAAGAGGTGGTGCTTTTCTATCTCTTCTACCAATGGTTTAACTGGAGAATGTTTTTGAAATGAGTTTTTTTTGTATGAATTTATGAAATGCAAATGTTTGTGAATGCATGAATGCATATGAATATGCTAAGAGTTTCTTTTTTGAATGTCTTATTCACCTGGATATACATATTTTTTCATATATATTTTTCTTATGTTTTGCTTTTTACTAGTGAGCACCTTAAAAATAAATAAGCAAATGAGATACGGAAACAAAAGCCTTTATTGAAATAATAATTGTCTTTAAAAATAATACAATTCAGATACTGAAAAATATTCAAACTTAAAACATTAAAACTTGCTGAAAGAAACAATTAAAGGGAAACAAAAGTCTTCTAAGTGCGCCTCCGAATTTCTGCTCTGAAGCCATCGACCATTCTCCTACAAATTTTGAGGAAGTCTTCGACGTCTTTAGAAAGAGGGACTATCACATTTTCTGCATCTCTCAAACCTCCTAAGGATGTCACCGATAAGATTGTTGGCTAAGAAGGCTAGTCTTGCATGCTTGTCTTTGTAGAACCGGTATTCTTGGTAGAGGCCAGGAATTATCTTATGATTATCTTCTCCTTCTTTGGCAATCTTTACATATTTCTCTTCCCAATATAATTTTTTAGCCCCAATTTTCGTATAGAGTTTTCGTTGTATTAGGAAATCCTTTCGGAAGTCTTCTAACTCAAGACATACTTGCTCGTATTCATCAGTCTTTTGGGTGAGAAATCTTTCTGCCATCATCCTTTTGAGGTGTTCCCCTACCTCTAATTCCTGGCTATCTCATAGTCTTGTGGTAAAATACTTCATTTGTTCTTCTTGGTCTAAGAAAGATTGCGCCAAGCTTCGGATTTGAGCCCTCAAATCTTCTTCCATTATCTTTGTCTTGCATTGCCTTTTTCTACCACCTACTTATTTTCCCGATCTCGCTAGCAGCATCCTCCATCCATTGGTTATGGGAATCCAAGTTGAAAGTAGCGCTTAACAACCCTTCAGTAGAACGCTTCCACTTAAGACTCTCCTTCTCAAATGCTTCACGATCTTTCTAAATTTGTTGATATTTTGATTTAAGTATGTGTTGCAGTTGTCTTTTCTCCTTAGTTAAGTTATGGAAGTTAAGATCCAATTCTTCTTTCTCCCTTTGAGCTTGTTTCAAATCATTCTTCAAATTGTCTATTTCTTCTAAGGACATAGGCGGAGAATCTGGGACATCTGGCTTGTACTCGGGATCAATGTCAAATGGTAACTTAACAACTTGCACCCTATATAAAACCCATCGAGTGTAAGGCTCTTTCGCCACACCATTCTTCCTTTTGGCCTTTCTTTTATTAACCCTACTCCAAGCTCGGATGATCTTGTTGAGCAATTCTTGGTCGTTTTTGCCCATGTCATTAATAATTAATTGTTGAAGCTGTTCATCGAAAGGTTTATCCTCCAAAGAGTACCCTAGTTGTCGTAGAGCAAAGGTAGGGTTGTAGTTGATGCAACCACGTGATCCAATCAGCGGAACATTCGGAAAGTCTCTGCAACTATAGATGATATCTCTAATTTCTAGCTTCCTCGCATACCACAATACAAAATTAGCAGTAAGAGACCTTAGTTTTTAGGCCATTTGTATCTTGTCAGATTCAGAACCATGTAATCTTCCTTATAAAGATGAGCCATAAATCAAGAATATAAAAATGGGATGCAACAATTTAGAGTACTTCTCTTTTTTCATATCGAGTGTGAAGTGCATAATAAATATCAGCAAGTAAAGCGGGAGTTGGGTCAGCATTCAAAACTTTCACGCCCCAAAATACATTAATTGCTGCAGGGTGAGTATAGTCTAAAGTCTGCGGAAATATGATTACACCAAACACAAGCAGCCTTAAACAATCAACACAAGACTCTCATTCTTTGTTATCGCCAAAATAAAGAGTTTTAGTTTCCAAATAGCATCTCTTAATCCCTTGTACATCACCTTCTTTTTTGTAATTAAGTGACAATTCAGGATAAGGGATCCCTAAACCATTTGCTAAGTCTTTAATGTCAATAGTCTTCCCAATTCCCACATAAGCTTTTCCCTTAGAGAAATTTAACAGTCTATCAATCTCTTCCAAAGTCGGCCCTAACTGAAAGTCTTGGAAGGTAAAGCACCTCAATGGAGGGTCGTAGAATTGAATAAAGGCAGAAACAATATTCAATTGTATCTCCACCTTTTTTAATTCAAGGGTATCCCCATAACGGCGAGTAAACATCTTCAAAGCTTTTTCAGACAGTTTCCCCTTGATAGCCTTGATCTTCGTCATATACGGCTTGACGACATTAATACAAACAAGTTGTTTCCCTCTGGCATTCATTTTTAGGACACTTCACCAAAAACTTTTGATTATTTTTTTTATCATGTGAATAAGACATATAAAAGGAAATGGAGGGTAATGAATATATGAAATGCAAGATGTATGAATGCATAATTGTATGGCATAGTAACGGGATTTCATGAAAGGTATCCTTAGATGGTAGGCTCTTAGTTTTGGCCTATGTATATTCTACCCTCCTCATAAGGTGGTTTCCTTAAGGGTGTCATGGATAACACTATAGGGAAAGACACAAGGGTCTCCCTTAAGTGGAGTCTCTTAGCAGACCGAAACTTTCGTCTCTAGGTCATGAAAGGTCTCACCATGAGATTTTGGTTTAAGGGTTATACAAAGAGTCATAGGTTTTATTTCAAAGTCCTACCCCAAAAGGATGTCTCTTGAGACGTATTCCTTTTTTAGAATTCTACCGACTCTAGGCAAAGTTGTCACAAAAACTCATAGGGATGATGTATCCCCTTGACCAATGGACGAACCTTCTTTCTAAGATTTTTGAAAAATATTTTTGAAAAAAATAAAAATCTCACCATCAAATTAATGAAAATAAATAAATAAAAATAATAAATAAAAGAAAATAAATAAATACAACAAATATTGAAAACATTAAAAATGAATCTAAACTTCGAAATGACAACGCAATAAAAAAATAAAAATGACAACATAAAATGCCCACCAATCATCAACCATTCAATCGAAACTAAAACAAGAACGAATTAACATGGTATATATTTCAATCAAATTCCATAAAACATAATAACAACTTCAACATATACAAATGAAATAATTCCAACATGCTCCGATGCTGACATTAGAATTCAACACAATTTAATGGCAATTTCTACTCAAACAAAAAAAAACAACTCACATTATATTCTACAGTTCTTTTCCACAAAAAAAAAAAAACAACAGCACCAACAATTTAATCGCATTTTCAATAAAAGAAAAAACACATTAAAATTTACCGAATAGCGCTGAGATACTGAACGAGCCAAATTTGAGTTGGTGCCGTAAGGTGGAGGTTTGGTCTGTTGCGGACTCAGGTGAAAAACAAAACGGAGGCACCGGATTGTGGCTTGAACGGTGGACAGATGAAGGTTATAGCGGGAGATGAGAGTATCGGCATCGAATCTCATGCGGAGGGTGTATTTGATGGAGAAGGAGAACCAATTCCCTTTTTAGGTTTCAGCCAATGACCAAAACAACCGTAGATATTTTATATAGGAGATATTTACAAAAACTATTCTAATAAAAAAAACTAACCTATAACACAAGAATAAAAGTTATAAAAAAAGTAACTTAATACTAAGATTAATTAAAACAAAACATTTTATAGTTTTTTCTAAATAGACTAAAAATAATATAAAAAAAAAACTAAAATCTTAATTAAAAGAATGAATATATACAATTCTTTTTTATAATTCTAAAACTTGATTTAAACTAAAACTTAATTAAAAAAAATAAGAAACACATTTTTTAATATTATTTTGATTAAAAGATAATAATAATAATAATAATAAAATATAAAAAAATATAAAAAATATAAAAAAATATTATTTATATAAAGGAAAAAAGAAAACATATATTATAAGGATAAAAATTAAAAATTGAAAACAAATGCAAATGCGTGTAAGAAATGCCAAGATGAATGATGATTAAATTCGATGTATGAATGCGAATGAGAAAAACTCAGGGTAAAATTTGGGGTGCAACAATTAAGTTGTTGTGAAAACTGTTGTTGATAAGCCTGAGCAGTAGGCGTTGAGTTGACTACATGAGTTATAACATCAATATGAGGTTATTGATAATACTGACATTGTTTTCATCTCTGGATCTTCTCTGTCTTTCTTGAGAAATGGCATTAGAATTTCCTTCCTTCTTCCTTTGAAAACTACTACCATACTTCTTTTCACCATTAGACGACCTCCATCTTTAGACAATCGGCCTTCTTAGACACCTTCTTTTAACCGGACCCCCATATGAACCATCTCGGTAAAAGCCATTGGGAGCACTGACAACCATCCTTTCATAGTAAAAGAAACTCAAACACTACTACAAATCGTGCATACAACATCGCCAAAGTCATCATGGTTCACCCCAAAACCGTAGTGACACTACTAAACTAATGCGTTAATATATTTTTTTTATTGAAAATTTTAAGGTTATAATTACGGTTAATTTCCTAACCGTGGTGATACAGTCCAGCTTTCCTAGGTTCGATCCTCAGCTCCCTTAAATAGTTTACCCATTTTACGTTAATGCACTCCTTCTCAATTATATTTATATATAATTAAAAAATAATAGGGATATCACTACGGCTCTTTGGTACAATCGTTGTTACACATTGGCGATTCTTTATATATATTAAACACTAGGTACCCATTATTCCACTGATAAAATAAACAACTCTAACACCAACGCCTTCGACATCGTCAGGAAGAAGAAAAGAACCCTAATACCATACTCATTGTTGTTGTTCAATTTCATCTTAATGTCGCATTTGAAGAGTAACTCATCCAAAGGTGTAAAATCTCGATCGCAAAAATTTTTTGGTTGTGACAGTCGTATGGTTTCATACCAATGCAAGAGGGGTCAAAATAAAGAAGGCTTTTTAGAGATGTCCATTTTTGTGGAGTGGTGAAACATGTAATTTTTTCATATAGGATGATGAACAAAAATTGGAAGATGAGAGTAATATGATGTCGGAGTTGGAATCTGTTGGGTATTTGAAGGTATGTATACAGATTTTAAAAAGAGGAATAAGAATTTGAAGAACAAACTAAAGTCATGGAGATTTTATGGAAATTTGAAGATGTTATGTTTTCTTATCTCCTTTATGTTTAATATTTACTCTGTTATAAAATGTAATAGTTGAAGTAGGGTTTGAAATTTGAAAATGTTATGTTTTCTTATATCCTTTATGTTTAATATTAACTTTGTTATGAAATGTAATAGTTGAAGATGAAATGAACTTGAAAGGAATATGCAACTAACAGACAGTTTCTTACGAGTAAGTTCACCGCACATTGTTGAATTTTCAATTAAAATTATGTGTTTTATATATTTTGTAGTTTAAGCTGATAGGTTAAGTTGATAGTTTAAGTTGAATGTTTAAGTTGATAACCTTAAGAGAGTTAAGATGATTAAAAATTCATTACATAAAACTTTCATTACATGATCAAAAACCATAATTAAATCTAAATCCTCTCGCTGAGATAAAGTTAGATCAATCATAGTCATCCTCATCCTCCTCATCAGAATTGAAAAAATCATCATTTTCCTTCTTAACCTTCTTCTTCTTCTGCTTCTTCTCCTCACACTGAGAGCTATCATTAGTATAAACACAACACCCTCTATATCAACATCTTGAATTTGAGGATGGTTTTGCATCACAACACCCTCTACAGCTACATCTTGATTCTGAGGCTGGTTTTGCACCACAGCAACCTCTACAACAACATTTTGATTCTCAGCATTATGGGTAGCTTGAGCAGGATAACACATGTTGATTCCTTTGGTTGAAGTTGTTTTTGTGTTTTGGTTCTTCCACTTTTATATCGTTCCTTCTAAAATTCTTCATCTTCTTATCTTGGAAGTTTAAAAACCAAAGTGGCTCATCATTGTTTCTTTAATTCTATACACTTTTTTTCTCTTGGAATTTAGGAAGATTGCATACCTTGAGTTGTTAAAATTTTGATGTACTTAATGGAATTGTGTATTTGTGTTGGCTAGGATTTTCACAAAGGGTTAAAATCCAACCAAAAGTAAAAAGGGTTCTTTGAGAACATTGAATTATAAGAAGTTGACTACAGAAGCAGTCGATCGAGAGAGATTTCATAAATAGTCAATTGGGCTTTGGGACACAGTCGACCAAAAAAGAGGCCTCATGAGGAATGGATTGGGCCCAGGAATGTTAAAAAGCCCAAAGAGTGCATAACTAGCAAAGCAAAGTGTTATGGATGGAGAACATGGGTTCGATAGCAGGGATGGAGAACGTGGGTTCATGAGGGAAGTTACAAGAGACATGTGGCTTATAAAGAAGTGAAACCCGCTAAAAAGTAGTTATTTTTGTGTATTATAAATAAAGCACTTAGTGCATAGTGTCAGAGGTTCAAACTTTCACATTCCTACAGGCTAGTCACTCAGAGTACCTAAGAGAACGAGCGAAATGAGTCAAGCTAGGGCAATGTATGTTTGAATCAACCCGTTTTCAACTATTTTGATGTTATGTCATCTATTTTTACAGTTTAAAACATCTTTTGTTTTATTTTACAAGTCCTGCTTTATTCATTTTAAATTTGTTTCGCTGTAGTCGAATGAACCCTAACATACTTTGTGAAAACACTCGAAAACTCAAGCACTGTACTGAGATTCCCTAGTCGATCTCGACAGTAAACTTTTTGTTAAGAGACCAGCATTGTTTGCCAAAACCAGAGGTAAACAAATTTGCACACGCGGTGGGACAGTGCCAATAATTTCGTATTTTGTGTGTGATATTACAAAGTTTATTATAGTTAGTTTGTGTGTGTATGAATTTAAGAAGTGGTAAACTTTTGTCCAAGTCTAGAATGCCATGCTCTGACACAAACACTGCACATACGTAGATTTCTACACAAAATGTGGGCGTCATACCAATGAGTACCACAATTCAAAGCTCGACAGTTTTATCTCCTATGAGATCGACCGTTGTTCATGATTCAGTGACAACAGTCACAATGACAGAACCTAGGCATGCAATATCACCATTTGACCCAAATCGACCATTCTTTCCAGGGGGTCTAGGGTCATCATTTGTCCCTTACCAATATGGTATGCCTTATTCCATGATGGTTGGTTTGCATTCGAACCCGGCCACATATACAAAAAAGACAGTGGCCACTGGAAACCAAGGAAGTTATGTCCCAAGTGGTCGACCGGGTGGTGTTAGTTATGTCCCTTAGTCGACACCCTCTTTGAATACTACTTCTGTTATGGATTTAAGGCAACAGGTGGATGAGAGTAATTTAGAGTTAGTAAATGTCTTAACTCAACAAATGGGAGTTGCCCTCAATCTTGTAGTTGACTAAATAAGTAGATTGATCGACTTATTTGGAGTATAACCAACTCAAACATGCCACGGGCCGTTAAGAGTTTTTGAAGAACTAGAGGAGGGCAACAATGAGCGTCCTTTTAGACCTCTAAGAGTGGAAGCACCCACTTATGAAGAGGAAGAATTTGTTAAACAATATGAACCTAGGCCGGTCGTAGTTAGGAGAAACCAAGATGTTGATCGAGTGTTAAGAAATGTCATTGTTGGGCGTAACAACATAGTAAATGTAGTAGAAGAAGTGTTAACACGATCTAGGGTAAATGTTGACCTTCGGAGGCCCAATTACTCTTCGCCCTTGCCTGATTACATTCGACTGGCAGAATTACCTAGGGAATGTAAGGTACCTAAATTTACCAAGTTTGTTAGTGATGCCAATGAGTCGACTATTGAACACATTGCTAAGTACAAAATAGAAGTTGGCAATATCGCCAATGATGAGGGTTTAAAATTAAGATATTTTCCTAATTCATTGACAAAAAATTCCTTTACTTGGTTTACGACATTGACTCCAAATTCCATACGCACTTTGGAACAACTTGAGGGTATATTTCATGAGCAATTTTATGCTGGTCAGCCTAAGATAAGTTTGAAAGAGTTATCCTCAATCAAGAGGAGGTCGTCTGAGTCAATGGAAGATTATTTGAATAGGTTTAGGGTCCTAAAGTCTAGATGCTTCACTAGAGTTCCTGAACATGAGCCGGTCGAAATGGCCGTTGGGGGCTTATATTATTCTATTAGGAAAGATTTTGATCCTTAATTTATTACAGATATGTCTCAACTAGCTGATAAGGTTCGATGTGTCGAACGTTTGAAAATAGAGAAAGCTAGGGTGTCAAAGGATCATAGAAAAGGAAAAGTGGCCTATGTAGACATAAACGATTATTTCATAGAGTCTAAGGACGAATACATGGAAGAAGAAGAAGATGTTAATGTGGCTGAATTAAAAGCTGGACCCTCGTATACATGTAAACCTATAAGACCTTCAAAAGGAAAGACGGCCGAAGGACCAAAAATGATATATTTAATTCTAAAACATATACTTTTGAT